GGTAATGTCATGACAGTTGTCAGAAAATGTGACATAGAGATTTGAAGGTTTATTGAAATAGTCTAAACAAGTAGTAGTAAAATTTGTCAACAAAGGTAGACAGGAATATCAGCAACACCAGAATCAAACACTAAAGGAGCTGAACACAGGATCATGATAAGCAGGGTGCAAAGAAGACTTCCACCACAGGAACACCAGAAGGAGCTGAACACAGGATCATGATAAGCAGGGTGCAAAGAAGACTTCCACCACAGGAACACCAGAAGGAGCTGAACACAGGATCATGATAAGCAGGGTGCAAAGAAGACTTCCACAGGAACAGGAAGGAGCTGAACAAGGAGCTGAACACAGGATCATGATAACACAGAAGGAGCAAACAGGATCTTCCACCACAGGAACACCAGAAGGAGCTGAACACAGGATGAACACCAGGATCTGAACATGGATAAGCAGGGTGCAAAGAAGACTTCCACCACAGGAACACCAGAAGGAGCTGAACACAGGATCATGATAAGCAGGGTGCAAGGAACACCAGAAGGAGCTGAACACAGGATCTTCCACCACAAGAACACCAGAAGGAGCTGAACACAGGATCATGATAAGAAGACAGGAAGGAGCTGAACACAGGATCATGATAAGCAGGGTGCAAAGAAGACTTCCACCACAGGAACACCACATGTACAAGATGAATGCAGCCAAGACACCAGAAACACAAACAAAAACAAATGAATTCTAAACAATGCTGGGTAACACAAACAGAAATCCTTGGTAACACTACAATCTGGTTATATGATTAACACAGTGCACTGACATTCTAACACTACTTTCATGGAGCCTAAAACTTTAGCAGTTAGCTAGCAAAAGGAATCATTTGCATAGCTAACACTTCTCAGCTCAGCATTCTAACTATTTTATGCAGAAGCTAGTAGACATTTTCTAATTCCACGTGCCATGTCTAATGAATGTCAGTTATCAGTTATATCCTGTTAATTCCCCTCTCCAGAATTTTTCCTTCTCCTAAACTGGTTGCCACCCAAAGTTATAGAACCCAGTCTGTCTTGCTATTTACCCGTATCTGGGGAGGGGGTGAGAAAAAGAGGATTGATACCTTTCTCAAGTGTATTAGCATGTAAGTGAATGTAATAGATCCAACTCAAATTCGAATTCGGCTCTCCGATTCTTCAATATGAACTGTTATACATTATTACTCCACCATACCTCCTTACTAAGAAATTAAGAGACAGCAAAGAAACAGGAGGAGAAAATAAAATAACCAAATTTTTTTGACAACAGCTAGGGTCAATATGAAAAGTTCATATATGGTTCACCCAATGTAGTATGAATATTTGACTTTCACCAAAATAAGTTAGTTAATACAGAAAAATATGCAATGCAAAAAGAAGTTAGTCATTATAGAGGGAGTAAAATTCATGGATGTGCAACAAGATGCTGATAAACTGGTTACAAAATATTTACTTCATCTAAAATATACATCTTGACATTGTGAGTTTGAAAAAATTCCGATAGAAAAGCCAAATGATTGAAGAAGAATTAGTTCAGATAAGGTTAATTGATGGACTGCATAATGTGACACCTCACTATAATGTTAGAATAATTACAGTTAGGAAACCTGTCTTTGCATACCTGCATTGAATATATTCAACAGCAGGAACTAATACAAAAATTTAATAAATCAGAGAATCGATCAGATTATGTAGAGGTTGCTGACACATGTTAAAGTAAGCCATAACAAAATGCAGATTCTGTGGATATGAACTCGACATGAAGAAAGAGAAATGTCTTTTGGAAAAGTGTGTAAAAATTTTCCAAAAATGAATCATTTTCAAATAAATTTAAAAAGAAAAAAGTGGAAAGAATTGGATAAAAACAAAACAAATATCGTAATTTTTCATTGAAAAAATGTTTTATCAAAATCCTTGTATAAATGATGTATTATTGGACATGCAAATGGATACCAACAGTGAACTAATGTTGATCCCATGAAACCTTTGGGAGCATATAGGCAAAACAAAACTAAGAGCCATATGCAGCTACACTAGTTTGATGGGTCAGTTATAATGATATTGGAATATTTAAAGCTTATAGAATTGAAAAACAAATTTGAAATAATACCAATCATTGTTGCAGATTGCAAAAAGAATCACGGATTTATTAGAAATGATATGCTTAACATGAATTATAGAAAATTAATTAATGCAGTAAAAATGGAAGAAAAAAGCAAAAAAATAAAGTACAAAGCAAGCCTAAAATTAAAAGAAAATGATACCCAGGATTACTCTGAGGCATGGAATCTTCCAGTATATTTGTTACCATTAGTAGTAGCAAAACTACAAAAGTTAGTTGAGCAAGACCTTCTGGAACATATTCATCCTGGTGGAAATGAATGGCTGTACCCAATTGTAGTTCTGACAGAGACTTACACATATGTGCCAATCATAAAATAGGAGTGAAATATAAAGTATACTCAAATTCATATCCCATACCAAATGTGGAAGTGACCTTACATTCCTTAGTTGGAATTAAGATTTTTACTGAAATAAATTCAAAAACTGCATATCTTCCATAGATGAAAATTTCTTTGAAATAGCAACAATAAATTTGCCAATAGGTTTACTACACAGGAAAAGAATGCCTTATGGGATAAAGACTGCAATTGCTATTTTTCTAAAGGCCATTGAACAAGGCATAGGGGACGACATAAAAAAGTGGTTTGTTATCAAGACGATATATGTATAGGCACTACCATTGAAGGAGAATTAAAAAGGAAAACGAGCCACATTTTAAATAGCTTGTTAAGGAATGCAGGAATGAAAATAAATAAAAAATGTGTACATAGACCTAACCAAGTATCGTTTTTGGAATATTCCATTTCAAAAGAAGGGGTGTCACCAGATTAAGTGTTAATAGAAAAAATACTAAAATTAACAGTATCCATAATCTTTTTTGGGATTAAGTTATGCAGATTTAACTGAATCATTCCCTAAACTGAGAAAAAAGAATGTTGATTTTGTGTGGACAAAAGAAAGGCAAATTGCTTTTGATAAGCTAAAGTCATTTCTCGCAAACAAACCAGTAGTAAAAATATTTGACCACAGAAAAGAAATGACAGTAACTACAGATGCCAGTGAACATTCAATATCTGGAATATTATCCCAAGATGGACATCCAATAATGTATATATCAAAAAGATTGATAATAGCTGAATTTAATTATTCAAACATTGAGAATGAAGATCTCATGATTATTTGAATGATGACTAGGGTTTGTCAATTCTTAATTGAGAAAAATTTCTGATCATAGAACATCTGATTATAAAACATTAGAATTTATATTTAATCCAAGAGAAAAACTATCCAAAGTCACAATATCAAGAATATTAAGGTGGGCAATAATATTGACTTTGATATAGAATATGTCAAAGAAAATATGATATATGAGGTCACATCGCACAGTGGATAAAGGCATGTTAGATCCAGTGACAGGACGCAAAGAGTGTGAGTTCAATACCCGATTAAGAACTTTCAGAGGGAAATTAACAAAAAGATAACTGATAATTGGCATCCATTAAACATGGTACGTTGAACTAAAACAGTCTACCTCAGTGAGTGAAATAAAGGGTTCATTTCGACATTCCAACCACATGAAGAAGGCTGGAGCATACAACAGCCGAAAACGTAATAAATATGGCAACAAAGATGAGGACAACAGTCTGAATAATGTAAATAATGTACATAATACCTCATCTCAGAAATATAGACACCATTTTACATTGTGTAGAGACTGATATCTTGTCTGTGTAGAGAATGGCTGCAGAAACTACACAAGACTCACTACTAAGCAGCATAATATCTAGAATAAGAAATAACAAATGGAGTAATTGCTCTTAGGCAGAAAAAGCCGATTCAAAGAAATAAGACATAAAATGACAATTAAGAATGGTGTAGTTTAAAATGGTGATCCCTCTAGAAACTAAAAGGAATCTGGTAATAAAAAGTGTACATGATGATGTGGCAGCACATACAAAAAAAAGGTTAGTTAGAAACAGGGTGGCTGTAACATTCACAAAGGCTAGAGAGTTCACCAGGCTTAATGGGAAGACAAATCAGAACTCCTTTAACCATGTCATATTCTATGAAAGAGAAAATGTGGTACAAGAAAAATAAGGAGATATTCCCAGAGAAGGCATTTCTTTTAATGCAAAAAGGACACAACACAGTAATAAGTAAAATGGGAGTAACATACTAGCCCATGTAGATCAAATAAGATCACAAGATGAATGTGAAGAGGAATGTGACAAAGAAATGTCCATGGATACGTCAAGTAATGACAGTACTGAACAAAAATCAAACCTACACTTGCAGGATGAAAAGCATGAAGACGAACATAGCGATGATCAAGAAGAACAATATGATTTGGAAACTCAGTCAGACCAGTCAATGCATGAATAACAGGCCATAATCAGGAGAGAAAATGAAATAGATCAAGATCTCCCAGTGAAAGAAAATACCCTTAAGATCCCAGGAGAGAGAAAGAAACTCTGAAAATGAAATGATTTTGTTAGAAGAAACACAAAAAAAAAAAACAAGGGGCACAAAACTCCTTGATTACACTGAGATGTAATGATATGTAGATTAACCAATTAACATAGCCAGAGAAAACCCAAGTTATATAAATATATAGGAGGAAGAAAGATTATCCATGAGAATTGTGTAGTAACATGAAGGATTAAGGATTACACAATATTTTTCTCCCCATGTCATAACTATGCTGCTCTTCGGTGCCCCAATATTTGTTTCTTATTACACTGCGTCATAGCAATGTTGCTCTTTAGTGCATGAATATTTATTTTCTTATATCTCCATGTCATAACTATGCTGCTCTTCAGTGCTCCAATATTTGTTTTCTTATTACACTGTGTCATAGAAATGTTGCTCTTTAGTGCACAAATGTTTATTTTCTGATCCCTCCATGTCATAACCATGCTGCTCTTTAGTGCAACAATATTTCTTTTCTTATCTCTCTATGTCATAATTATGCTTCTCTTCAGTTCATCAATATTTATTTTCTTATCTCAGCATGTCATCATACATATCTCTTTAGTACAATATTTATTTTATGATCTCTCCTTGTCTTAAATATACTGACCTTTAGTGCATTTACTTATCTCTGATTCTGAAACAAGCAAATTGTTACTGCACCAAAATCAAGTGATGTGATACAATATGAGAAAAATGATAAATTATTCATCTTCATATATTTCTTATTGAATCAGAAACTGAAAACAGATTTTAAATAAACAGCTGTCTTTCCCAGAAGAATGTAGTATTATATTTTTTCCTTTTAATATTCTCATTAATATAAATAAACAACTAAAAACATTAAGAGCCTTGATCTCTTTTAATTAGGCATCTTCTTTTTTACTGCAATAAAATGATATTAGCAAGTGCCTCTCCTTGACCCACCCTTCCTTTTGATGGGACAAGATTTAAATTAACAAATCCAATTGATAGCTTTCCTACCACCTGATTTATAAGATTTTTTTTACAAGATTTATTCTGTTTTTGTCGACAGTTCATAGAAGAAAGATAATCAGGAAGAAACACTAAAAGTTGAAGAAGGTGAATACAGATGTATTCTGTTAATTTTTATGATTGCATATTGAAAGAAAGACAAAAAAACTTATGAAAAAATAAATTAATAAATCTAATTCAATTATTTTTAACCGTGTTTTTTTTGTCTATTTTCAGCACTAACTTTTCTATTATTTTCTTCCCTTTTCCTGTTTTGATGTCTTTCACAATATTTTTGTTCTTGAAATAAAAGTTTCTCCTTCCTCTTTCCTTTCTTTTCATTCTTTCTCTCTCTTTTACTTAGTTTGGTCATTCTCTCTCTCTTTTACTTAGCTTTTTCATTCTATCTCTCATTTACATAGATTTTTCATTCTTTATCACTTTTACTTAGTTTTTCATTCTCTCTCTCTTTTATTTAATTTTTTCGTTTTCTCCCTCTTTTACTTAGTTTTTTCACTCTTTCTATTATTTACTTAGCCTTTTCATTCTATCTCTCGTTAATTTAGTTTTCTTATTTAATTTTTTCAATATTTTTACAATTTGTTTTTCATTTTGTTTTATTCCTCCACTTTTCTTTCTCTCACTTCTTTATATTTTTTTTATTTCCCTCTAAGGATTTTCTTCTTCAAAACATCTGCCTCTTTCTTCTTTTTGTTCATTGTCTTCTATTTCTTCTTTTTCTTCTTCCTCCTTTCTTTTTTTTTATTGTTTTCTCTTTCTCCTATTCAATCTTCATTTTTTCTTCTTCCACCTTATTCTTTTTCGTCTTCATGTATTCTTTTTATCTTCCCTATCATGTTAATCAGTCTTTTTTTTCTCCATTATCTTTTCTTTCTCAATATTTTTCTTTGTTAATTGATTTGTTCTCCTTTGCTTATCTTTGACTTACTTAACATCCCATTCTCTGTTAATATTTCTTTACATTTCTGTCCCGTTCTTTCCAGCCATATTACCTTCTTTTTCTACAATATATCATTTGTATACCTTTATATAACATTTGTTTAATAGTAATCATATCATTAATGACCTATTTGTAAAACTCTCTTCTGTCACAAACTTTTATCAGTATATATATATATATATATATATATATATATATATATATATATACATATATATATATATATATATATATATATATATATATATATATATATATATATATATATATATATATACATATATATACATATATATATATATATATATATACATACATATATATATATATATATATATATATATATATACATACATATATATATATATATATATATATATATATATATATATATATATATATATATATATATATATATATATACATATATACATACATATATATATATATATATATATATATATATATATACATATGCATTATATATATATATATATATATATATATATATATATATATATATTTAATGCATGTTTCATTAAATAATATAGACAAGTTTTGTCTATTTATTTTAAGTAAGTTCCTTTTGTATTGTCTGATAAGCTTAATAACATGCCTGGCTATGTAGACAATTCCAGAAAATCCTTGTTGAAAACACAACTATACTTAAACATGAAAACAATAAACAAAAACTAAAAATTCTTGAAGCTATATATATAAAACAGTTGAAATCTAACCTGAACAAAATAAACTATGAAATCTCCACAAATATTCTTAAATGCTTATAATTGGTAACAGAAGCCATTGGTTTATACCAATGGCTTCCCATACTGAACACTTCTCGTTTTCACTCTCGCGTGGTCATGTGTGATGTCACGAGCTGCGCTACGGTTTTCGCTTCCGTGTCTCATATACACGAGTTAGTTGTTGCCTTGAAATTTTTCATTCAACCAAAACAGACTATCATTATTATTTTGTTCGTGTATTGGTTGATATATTGAAATGTAATTGTCATCTTTGATAATGGCTTATGTAAGCTGAAAGCTTAGATTGGATTTAAACATGTATCAGTATGGTGATTTCCTTTCGACTTTCAATGATAATTTTATTAAGCTTATCAGTCAATATGAAAGGAACTTACTTAAAATAAATAGACAAAATTTGTCTATATTATTTAATGAAACATGCATTAATGAAAAATTGCTGCCTCAATTTACGCAATATATATATATATATATATATATATATATACCAATGTATATCAATGTACATACATTTTTACCTTACTCTGTCTTTATTTTTTTATGTACATACATTTTTACCTTACTCTGTCTTCACCATCTGCTCTTGTTTCAGTATGTTTCATCTTTTATATCATCTGTGTGCCAACATAGTTCAGTCTTTATAAACACTCCACTACTTTGGCCTTGGACCAGACTAAGTCCTTTTCTGTATCTTCCAGTTTTTGTTGTTTTGTATTCTCAGAAATATTTATTCATTTTTTTCTATTTCTTCGTATTCATTAATTCATTCTTAATTTTTTTCTAAACATTACTTTCTTTTCTTTTTCCTTTTTTTAAATTCCACTTCTCTAAAATTTTTTTACGATCATTTCCATCCTCCATTTTCTTTTCCTAATTTCTGTCTTTAGTTTGCATTTTTTTAAAAACTATCTCCAGTTGTGTTACACTAATGTCCTCCAGTTGGGGATCCTCACTTTGAAAATCAGCATTTGAAATTCTGTCTTTTATCTCAATTATAACATTCCGGTACTATTAGAAAATATACAACTATCTCTGCCAAAAGGCAGGCCTTCAAAGTGAAGCACAAGTTCTAATATGGTAAATAGGAATAAAAAATTATGTTAGATCAATCTTCCAAGTAAGGAAAAGCTACCTGCATTGCAAAACCAAAATGTGAATTTAATCTAGGTTTAACACCTAGCATTGTTAAGAAGGTAACCAACTATCTTAGCCAAAAGGCAAGTAATTATTATAACTTCTTTTCCTTTGCTCAATGATATAAACTTCTACTTTTTTTATTTTTCCTCTTCCTTTTTTTTCTTTTCAATTCAATTTTTCATCTTCTCTTATCATCTCCTTTGTTTCTTTCCTTTCTTTTGCTTTTCAATCCTTTTTCATTTTTATTTCCTTCCCCCTAATCTTTACATTATCTTTCCCTTTTGAGCACTTCTTTGTCTCTTTCTCTTCTTTTTCATTTTTCTTCTCTGACCCCTGACTTTTTCATCATCTGTCCCTCTTGTTTATATCTCCACCTCTTTCTTTTTTGTTTCTTTTTCATTTTTCCTTCCTTCCTTCCTTCCTTCCTTCCTTCCTTCCTTCCTTCCTTCCTCACTTTTCCTTCATCTTTTGCTCTCATTTTCTCCTTCAATTTTTTGCTCTTCTTTTTCTTTTCAGTTCTTTTTCCTTTTTCTTCCTTTCCTCCTCACATTTTCATCATCTATCCATCTTGTCCACATCTTTACTTCTTTCTCTTTTGTTTCCTCTTAATTTTTTATTTTTCCTTCCTTCCTTCCTTCCTTCCTTCCTTCCTTCTTCCTTCCTTCCTTCCTTCCTATATTTTGCTCTCATTCTCCTCTTCACTTCTTTCTTTTCTTTTTCTTTTCAATTCTTTTTCATTTTCCTCTCTATCCTCACTCTCTTTTTCAATGCACACCACTTTTTCTTTTCCTCTTCCTTTCTCATTTTTCTCTTTCTTCCATTTCTTTGATTAACCACCACTATCATTTTTTTTCTTTTTCATTCATTACATCCATACTGCAATGTTCTTCCATTCTCTCCATGATGTCATCATTTTTTTTTATCAACTTCCTTCTTGTCCTTGCCTTTTATAGTGTTAATTTATTCATTACTTGTGTGTTGTCTTCTGGTTTTGTTCAAATCACCTTTCCTTTATTATATCTTGTCTCTTTTATCATATTTTTCTTCAATTAGACAACAGAACAGACACTGTATCATGGAAGGAGAGGCACAAAAGAGGTGACAAGATGCTGGGAAAACAGTTGAAATAATTTTACACTTATTTGCTTTCTGGTTTTTCTTTCTTTTCTCTCTTTGCCTTTTTCATATATCCAAATTTTATAATGAATACACAGACTGCTAGAAAAAAATCTGGCCTCCCCTGACCTCAATAAAAGGGACCTTTAAAATGCAAGTACATGGAGACTCACCCCAAAAAACTGAAAATAATGAAAAAGACACAGAGTGATAAGAAATGAAAAAAGGAAAACAAAGGAGAGGGGAGGAAAGGTAGAAATATGAAAGCCATGTGAAAAAGCCCTCAGGTTTCTGTACAGACCCATTATCGCTAATATGAAGAAGTAAAAAAATATAGAGTGGAATATAGTAAATTAAAAATTGAAAAAATGAAAAGGATGGAAATGCGTAAAGAAAAATTATTCAATATTTTTTCAATTATTTTTTTCTTGTTTATAAAATTGTCTTCTGCAAAAGGTGTGTAAAAGGTTTCGACTTGTGAATCTCTTTTATAAGCAGCTTATATATATATATATATATATATATATATATATATATATATATATATATATATATACTGTGTGTACATGTGTTGCATTCTGTGTGGCTACTTAAACTCTATGGATTTCTATATATATATATATATATATATATATATATATATATATATATATATATATAGTTATGTTAAACTTTATCTATGAATTTATACATGCTTTTATGTCAAACTATTTATTTATATATTTATTTCTTATATATTTAGACATACAAAGATTTCCCTGAATTAAAAGATTAAATGTGTGTGTGGTTAAATTGTGTGAGCAGGTGCATTTGTGTCAATAAAAAGTGATGTTTTGAAATAAAATGATTTTACCTATCTGGATTGTGCACAAACACATCAACTTGAGTCTGTTCATATCTATCTATCTATCTATCTATATATATATATATATATATATCACATCCTGTTCATATCTATCTATATATCTATCAGAACTTGTTCCTATCTATCTATCTATCTATCTAAATATGTTCATTATCTATTTATCTAAGTCTTTTTACATCTATCTATCAATCTATCTGAGTATGTTTATATATTGTTTTTCTAATCAGAATCACCCCATGCAAGGCAGTAATGCCACTAAAACTCAAGGGATTACAGGGTGTGGAAGAATTAGGAACAGTAAATAGTGATTGACATTGCATTTAAATTTTTGCAGATTAAAGTTGGCTAGAACGCATGTAGCAGGAAGGAAGTTCCACAAGCAAGAAGTGTGAGAGAAGAAAGTGTTAGCATAGAATTTACAGCTACATCTAGCCAGCTCAAGTGTGAATTGATGAGATCTCACACCAGTCTAGTATTGTGCTTAAATTCAAAAACTATAGGAAGCATAGTGTAGAGATCATTCAAACAATTACCATGAAAGTATTTATAAAGGCTAGAAAATTAGAAAGTGTCTGGAGCTGAGCTGCCAGATAATATCACAGATTCTTCTTTGGATCTTATCAAGGAGCTAAAGGTAAATAGCAAGGGCACCAGACCATTTGTAGCAGCAATATTCTAAGAATGGACAAATGGTAGACATAGATTTGTGAAATAGATTCTAGAGAGAAAATTGTCTTGGCCAACATAGTGAATCAACTTTCTTAGCTGCTGACCTAGCAATGGATTCACTATAGTTTTTCCACTTCATATCAGCAGAGAATATGAACTCAATATGAATTCTGGCTTGCAAGGAGTCTCTCAGATGATTAATGGAAAGAATTTTAGTTTCGAAGGCATTAAAATTAGCAAGCTATTTTTACCCCAGTTAACTATAGACTTGTAGTTTCAGATATCGGCTGCTATTTTGACCTTATCAGACTGATAAGCCTTATTATCAAGTCAAGAGTAAATTGTTGTGTCATCCACATAGATACAAAGTTGAGACCTGATGTCATCAGGAAGTTCATTAATGAAAATTAAAAGTAGAGTAGGACCAAGTATGGAGCCTTGGAGGACATGTGCATTAGTAAAAGGGATGTAGATGGTTGGCCATTCAGGATAACTCTCATTTCATGATTTGACCGAGGCATCTATCTTTCTATTTATCTGAGTCTGTTCACATCTATCTATCTATCTATCTATCTATCTATCTATCTATCTATCTATCTGAGTCTGTTTACATATATGTATCAATCTATCTATCTATCCATCTGAGTCTGTTTACATATATCTATCGATCTATTTATCTATCTATCTATCTGAGTCTGTTCACAACTATCTATCTATTGATTTATCTATCTATCTATCTTTCCATCTGAGTCTGTTTACATCTATCTATCTATTGATCTATCTATCTATCTGAGTCTGTTTACATCTATCTATCTATTGATCTATCTATCTATCTGAGTCTGTTTACATCTATCTATCAATTTGAGTTTGTTTACATCTATCTATCTATTTGAGTTTGTTTACATCTATCTATCTATTTATCTATCTATCTACTTGAGTCTGTTTACATCTATCTATCTATCTATCTATCTGAGTCTGCTTACATCTATCTATCTATCTATCTATCTATCTATCTATCTATCTATCTATCTATCTATCTGAGTCTGTTTACATATATGTATCAATCTATCTATCTATCTATCTATCCATCTGAGTCTGTTTACATATATCTATCTATCTATCTATCTATCTATCTATCTATCTATCTATCTATCTATTTGAGTCTGTTTACATCTATCTATTTGAGTCTGTTTATATCTATCTATCTATCTATCTATCTATCTATTTCAGTTTACATCTATCTATATATCTATCTATCTGTCTATCTATTTGAGTCTGTCTACATCTATCTATCTATCTATCTATGTCTGTTTACATCTATCTATCTGTCTATCTATCTATCTATCTATTTACATCTGTTTACATCTATCTATCTATCTATCTATTTCAGTCTGTTTACATCTATCTATCTATCTATCTGTTTATTTATTTATCTATCTATCTATCTATCTATCTATCTATCTATCTATCTATCTATCTATCTATGTCTGTTTACATCTATCTATCTATCTGTCTATGTTTTACATCTATCTATCTATGTCTGTTTACATCTATCTATCTATCTATCTATCTATCTATCTATCTATCTTGAGTCTGTTTACATCTATCTATATATCTATCTATCTGTCTATTTGAGTCTGTCTACATCTATCTATCATCTATCTATCTATTTGAGTCTGTCATCTCTATCTATCTATCTATCTATCTATCTATTTCAGTCTGTTTACATCTATCTATATATCTATCTATCTGTCTATCTATTTGAGTCTGTCTACATCTATCTATCTATCTATCTATCTATCTATCTATCTATCTATCTATCTATGTCTGTTTACATCTATCTATCTATCTGTCTATGTCTGTTTACATCTATCTATCTATGTCTGTTTACATCTATCTATCTATCTATCTATCTATCTATTTGAGTCTGTTTACATCTATCTATATATCTATCTATCTGTCTATTTGAGTCTGTCTACATCTATCTATCTATCTATCTATCTATCTATCTATCTATCTATCTATGTCTATTTATCTATCTATCTCTGTTTATGTCTGTTTATATCTATCTATCTATGTCTGTTTACATCTATCTATCTATCTATCTATCTATCTATCTATCTATCTATTTACATCTTCTATCTATCTGTCTGTCTATCTATCTATCTATGTCTGTTTACATCTATCTATCTATATCTATCTATCTATCTATCTATTTCAGTCTGTTTACATCTATCTATATATCTATCTATCTGTCTATCTATTTGAGTCTGTCTACATCTATCTATCTATCTATCTATCTATCTATGTCTGTTTATATCTATCTATCTATCTGTCTATGTCTGTTTACATCTATCTATCTATGTCTGTTTACATCTATCTATCTATCTATCTATCTATCTATCTATCTATCTATGTCTGTTTACATCTATCTATCTATCTGCCTATGTCTGTTTACATCTATCTATCTATGTCTGTTTACATCTATCTATCTATCTATCTATCTATCTATCTATCTATCTATCTATTTCAGTCTGTTTACATCTATCTATATATCTATCTATCTGTCTATCTATTTGAGTCTGTCTACATCTATCTATCTATCTATCTATCTATCTATCTATCTATCTATGTCTGTTTACATCTATCTATCTATCTGTCTATGTCTGTTTACATCTATCTATCTACGTCTGTTTACATCTATCTATCTATCTATCTATCTATCTATCTATCTATCTATCTATCTATGTCTGTTTACATCTATCTATCTATCTATCTATCTATCTATCTATCTATCTATGTCTGTTTACATCTATCTATCTATCTATCTATCTATCTATCTATCTATCTATCTATCTATCTATCTATGTCTGTTTACATCTATCTATCTATCTATCTATCTATCTATCTATCTATCTATCTATCTTTTCATATGTTAGACCTAGTTTATCTCCAGTTCACTTTTCCACAAAAAAGACATTCTTAAATACTTGTAGATTGTTTTGAGATCACACATATAACCTGAAAACTAACCCCATAGATGACATTTTAAATTTTATTTTTCTTCAGTATCTGTCTTTATTTCTGAGATGAGGTATTATGTACACTATTTACATTATTTGGACTATTGTCCTCATCTTTGTCGTCATATTTATTACAATGTTTCGACACATGGCACAGTGG